AATGCCCTAGTGTAAGTAGTGCACTAGGAATGCGAACTTTGCGAGTTTGAAGATATTGAAGCACATTTCATCAGTGTTCAGAAAGTTATTGTGTTACTATTTTCAATTTTATTTTGTATGAGAATACAATTATTATTTTTTATTCCAGACTTCCAAATGTTCAATTCTATTTTTAATTTTACACGCTGCAAAGATTTGTTACATTTTCTGATTTTCATTCTTTCACACGAAACTATGCATTTTCATAAGTGACTGGTTTCCTTAATACGTACTGCACAACGTAATACGGAACGAAAATAATTTTTAAACGTTAAATTATTCATGACATGGGTGCGTATCCGATTACATCCTGTTACGTACCTCACACGTACAAAGCATAAATAACAAGATGTGAAGGACTCGTACAGTAGAAAGTCGGTTAGCCAACGATGCACGAATGATCCGCCGTCGTCTCTTGCATCCCTTGTTTGTCTGTGACATAAACTTGTGAAGTGAAGTTGTGCGAGTTGCCGTATTTAACGACGACAAATCGGAATGGAATACCGAGATTGTTTTCCACCTACATTAGTCTTGCATGTCACACTATAATGTGTTACGATGCACTACGAATAAGAAGAGGAAAGAGACTGTTGTGTGTAGCAATTGCCTGGTATAAGCTGAGCGAGAACGATTGAGTATTCTAAATTTTAATAATAATAATAATAATATAATATTAATAACAATATTAATAGCAATATTTATAACAATATTAATAGCAATATTTATAACAATATTAATAGCAATATTAATAATAATATTAATAACAATATTAATAATAATATTAATAACAATATCAATAATAATATTAATAACAATATCAATAATAATAGGTCATTCAAAAGGCTGGGAAGTCAAGGCCATTGCCCTATGGGAAACAGTTCATATGTTGCGCAAAGTATTGGAGAAGCATCGACGATCCATAGATATGTTCTAGGAAGCTGGTTGCAACCCGGAGTCGATTTTATAACAAACCGACTCATCACATCTTTATTCGAGAATTTGAGAAGTAAAAGTAATAGCCTTATAAAATTATTAATTATTATTATTATTAATATTAATATTTTTGTTATTATTATTGTATTATTATTACTAAACAATATGCAATAATGCGGTATACACAATCCGTATTATAGAAAAATACGAATTTTTAAAAAACCTAACTGTTGGTTGTGATTGTCATAAGATACGTCTTCAGTCTGAATGATTCCACCGGCGTTTAAACACAACTCAATGAACGAACGCCGTACCCCCGTCTGCGCCTGCCCGCGAGGCAAATAACGTGCGCGACGCAGAGAACCGCCGGCAGGGGCCACTCGAGGTGGAGAGGGGGGGAGGGGGAGGAGAGGGGCGGGTGCAGCGCGTGGCGCGGCCCGCGGCAGCTGCGCGGCGGTGGCGCCCCCTCACCCCGGTCCCCCCCGGGGCCCGTGCGGCTGCGCCCACGCGCAGCGCCAGAGAAAGCGGCGGGGCGCGCAGAGACAATACTTTCTTCCCGGCGGAAGCCGCGTCGTGACGCAAGCGCCCAGCCTCCGCCGCCGCCGCCGCAGCTGACGCTGCCGCAACCCGCGCCGCCGCCCCTCGGCGTTTTTTTGGAGTCCCACTCACCTTCCGAGATGTAAGTACCTCGGGGACTTTGTCTCCTCAGGCCCGGGATAACGTATTCAGAAACCCTCAGCATGAATAGTAATGTTTAGAACTTGAGCACAAGTAAAAAATATTAACGCGAATATGTACTGAATTCTCTGAAATTAACTAAACTAAACCTTTAATGCGCCTTTTTCTTACGTATATGTAACCACGTTTCTGATTGCACCTCGTGCACTAATTTATGATGTGCACTATTTCTTCAATAGTCGAAGACTACCTAAATGAAACATATAAGCAAGTGTTTTCAGTCCTGGTTGCTAGATGTCGATTTAGCAGAGATCGCTTAGGCACAGTACACTTCTGGACAGAGTACATTAATGACTTGCGTCGATTCGAATCTTCCACAGTTTGACGCTTTGAAGCGCACCAGCAGTATAATTTAGCACCGTATCAATGGTTTAGCATTAAAAATTCATGCTACCAGAGAAACCCAATAATGACTCGACGACAATGGGCGATTGTTATGTCTACACAAAATTGTGTTGGGCATTGAAGGGTTAATATTATCAGAATTTAATATTACAAAAAAAATTGTAGGCGCCTAGGTACCTAGGCTGTTTATAAGTTAATCCAAAACTGCCTCGTAAAATAATTAATATTATCAGTTTTTAATATTGCAAAAAATAAAAAATTGTAGGCGCCTACGCACTTACTTAGGCTGTTTATAAATTAATCCACACCTGCGTCACCGAATTTCTTTCTCTTCCATCCCACTTGAAATGGTAAATTTCCTTTTCTCGGCCATTGTCTCTACCTCCGCCCACCACACGCGTCCATAACGCCCTCCACCCTGCCTCGACCACAGCTTCTGCCCTTGCGTTTTGCTACACCAGCTTTCATCTCGCTGGCGCAGCTGGCCCCGCCGCACCTTCCGGTGTCCCGTTGTTCGCTTTTTTTGGTCTCCGTACCTCCCTCTACCGATGCAGCTACATGATTTCCTCGCCGTACGGGACAACCGTTGCCTTCACCCCCACCTCGGCGTCTGTCTCCACCTCCACGTCCAACCGCACCTCTCCCCCCCTCCCCCCCCCCGCGCATGCCGTCGCCTCGGCTTGGGGCTCACTCCGCCTGGCACCTCCTCGATTGTTTCCTTCTTCGATCTCACCTCACCGACCGAACACCCAACACAGCCACGAGGCTCTCATTGCCTCCGCCTCCACCGCCACCTCTTCCGCGACAACCTACGCTTCGGCTCCCACCCCCTCCCCTTCTCAGTCTCTGACACGTCTGTAACTCCACCTGCACTTCCATCAGGTCCTCCACTCCCATCTTGTTTGGCTCCACCTCCGCCTCCTCCCACGTCGTTCCCTAGCCGTGCTTACGGGTGACGCCGTCAGCCCACAGGTCACCTGCGGCCCCATTTCCACCCACACGTCGTCCTTTCTCCCGGCGCGTCGGGAAATTCGTCTCTGCGGTTCCGCGTCGCTTGCGCAGAGTCCGCCCACGTCGCCGCTCCCCTAGATGATCATTCTTACCACAGGCGTCATCACCCGCAACCCCCCCCCAATAGTTTTCTTTCATGGAGTATTGTAGGTGTCTTCTCCGTAATCTTTATATACTGGGTCGCCCAACCCTACAATAATTTGTGCTGGCGAAGCCCATAATCCACAGCAATGGAATTAAAACTGACACGGTACTTCAATTGTGTTTTCTAAATAACTTCATCTGCGTACGCATCGACATCCGCCATATGACACAGCCGCACTTAGATCGTGCCCCCACCCCCCGGCACCCTCGCAACGGTTTTAATTGTCTTCCCCAGTACTCTCTTTATTTGCTCGTCATTCCCCACCGTCGTCATAATGTCATTTTATCCTCCTTTGACCAACGTAATGATACCATAATATTAATATTAATAATAATGATAATAATGATAATAATAATAATAATAATAATAATAATAATAATAATAATAATAATAATAATAATAATGGTCGGCCCCATGGCGCAGACGGTTGCGGCAGTCGTCTGCGCGCAGGAGACTGCAGGTTTAAGTCCCGCGTAGGCATTGTCGTATTTGTGATTGTCCCTTCATTATCCTACCACCTCATAATTCAAGGATTCAACAACCTTGTCTTACCAAGAAATTCAGCCGAAACGATGATCCCCATAATGAGACACTTTACTGTCTTCAGGAGAAATATGACTTACGCCTGTTATGTTTCATATTTTGTCTCTTCCATTTCTGTCATTCGAGATTCCTCGCTAGGCTGTAAAACTGGCTTCTTATTTTTCTTCTCCTCCCATTCTCTATCTCCAGTTTCGTCCAGTGACCTCCGCATTCACCGCATTCATCACGTTCTCACTTCCGCTTTTCTCACATGCGTCTCTTCTGGCCCATCCCGTGTTTCCCATCTCAGTCACCCCTCTGTGGTTGCCTCATCAAACACCTTCTCCTCTGTAATCGTAAACGCCGTCGCCGCCGCCGCCGCTGGACCACCGCATTCCAGAACCTCTTCCGCGGCGCCGACGCTCTCCCATCCCCCCAGCCCCTCCCACTCGCCTCGCTGCCTCCACGAGCCCGTTGCCGGCTCTTCAGTTTCACCTGTCACCGTCTCTGCCGCGGACTTGAACTGTCACCTTTATATCATCCACTCGTCTCCAGTCCTTTCGCCCGCTGTTTGTACTCCCTGCCGTTGGGAGAACTACCCGTCCTGTCACTAGCTTCTCAGCTAGTAGGTCCAGATCAATTGGTGTCTGGAGGAGATTCTAGGGCTGGCTGCTGTGATCGGCAGTTTTCCGTGGTTTCTCCGATCAACACGAGGCGAATGCCGGAGCATTACCCTAACAAACGGGCCACGGACAGCGCGCGACCCTTCATTCCTTGTTATATTTTCAAATCTTACACACACTTACACCAACAAGCACTACACTACCACACATGTCGGGAGACCGGCCGGGAGCTTAGAGCTTATCCCGGCTGTGTCGGTGCCGCGGTGGTGGGAGATCTGATTGGGACCTCGCCATCCAGCCGAGGAAGACCAGCGCCACCTTCCTAGAAAAATCATGACTACATTTACGGGACTTATGACCTTCGTTCGGAATCATTAACGATCAATCACACCCTTTCTGAAATATATTTGGAGACGCATCTAGTAATAACGTTTGCATTATCAGCAATGTAAACGAATACACCTGAACCACATTTCCATCGTATTTTGTTTCTAAATATTATTTATTCCAAAGATTCCTTTAAAGTATTATTCCGATGTTTCCGTTCTGTTCAATTTTCCGTGTCACCACTATAAATATTTCGACTCCGCTGGCAAGAACATTATGGTCCATGTCATCTTCATCTCTTTCTTGTCCCGTTATTCTCAGTCATTAAAGTCTCCTCTCTCACATCTTCTGCCGACTGTGTCACTTCGGTCTGCCATCGTCTCCATCTTTTCGGCAATATCCGATGCCGCCGCCGCCGCCTCCGTCGTTACCGCCACCGTCGCCACCGTCGTCACCGTCGCCATCGCCGCTACAGCCGCCACCGCCACCGCCGCCTTCGCCGCTTCCGCCGCCTTCCCCTCCTCCGCCGGCAGCCGACTTCCGGCACCTGAAGACCGCCCGCGGCGCCGGCCCCCGGGGGCGCTGGCAGCAACGGCGGTTCCCTTTGGGCCCAAGGCCGCTCCCTCACGGGCCCTGTCAGCCGCTAATTACACGGCGCTCTGACCGACCATTCTCCAACTTTCTTCGCTTTGTGTCGTAATGCACCCGATCGAGATCTGACGACGCGGCGCGTGTGCGCGCGGCGACGTTCATTCTGACACGTCAATCGATCGTGGGCGGCGCGCGGGTGACGGATTCGACCGGGCCTGCTGGAGTTATTGGCGCGATACACGTAATGCGGAGGCCTAATCAAGTATGCGTGGGACTTGGCGTGGCGCCAGCCACACTTGCCTAAACATTCGGCCGGTGCCTTGGGCGTGTCCTGCTCTGCCGACGAGAGTCATTCCTCAGGTATGCGGGGAACGAAACGCCAGGAGCTCTCGGGTCTCCGCTACTGGGCAAGTGAGTTGGTCCAGCATTAGGAAATGTGTTGTATCACACTCGAAACAAGATGTTCAATGTTATTTTACTTGATAATTATATGCCGGCGATCCGTTTTATTTATCCGAGAGGTAATGAACATCTCCATTAAGAGAATGACAAATTGCATCCTATTGCCGATGATATCGCGAACACATTGATGGATGTCATTGAATAACACTGAAAGCCAGAGTAATATTATTATGAAAACACTATAATAAATAGACCAGAATGTAAATAAGAAGATAAATAAAAGTCTTATAAGAAAAAATATTAAAATTAATCATCAAAAAGTAAGAAATAACTGATTTCGTTGATTTGTAATGGCGAAGAACTGCAATTGTTCTACTTCAAATAACAGTCTCTCATTAATCTAATCGTTTTATTAAGTTTAAATGTGGAAAAGATTTGAAGCAAAATATCTTAGGAAACGTTCGTAATAGACTACATTTTACCGATATCTTAAAAATGTATTCCATAGAGTTTTACATTTCAATATTTTCACTTTACGCATAAAGCACTGATTACTCTGCTTTATCACTAAAAATAATAAACACACCTAACAGGGTACATATGTAGCAGAACAACTGTTGTAACAAAAATCTAATTTGGAATATTTTGACCCGAGGAAACCTCTGGCGTCTACTTATAAAACAAATACGACAATCTAGCCCAATTACAATTTGGTTAATTTGCAATTAAAATCGTTATTGTTGCCACTAAAACCACCCTATATTATAACTACGTACACTGGGATGAAAAGTCTACAAATCACAATGCTGTTTTGAGAAGAAAGTTCACAATTGAGGGATAATATCCGCACGCACGATCATGGATAATAGCAAAAATCTATAGCTTTTTTCTTTTGCAAATACTTTCTATTAGACAAGAACTAATATTTTCTTACCAATTATATTGCCAGAAACGGTCGTTTTCACCTGTATTCGTAATTCAACTTTTATGTGGTATAGGGTAGAGATCCCAAAATGTAAGAAAATGTGCACGGAATACACTCTATACTTCTCCCCACTGTACGTGGCAAACCGCTTTTGATTGTTTTTGACATGTGTTTAAACAAGCCGACTTAGGTGATGAGGAAACTACTGTTATTGATTAATCATGTCATTCTCTTTGTTTCGGATTACAATCAGAAGCCAATTCTATAAAATCTTTTATTTATAATCCACTCATTATTCACTACAATTGGCAACATACTCGTGTCTTATAAAAATACTATCACCTCATCAATTCACGAAGGTGCAGTGTTCCCAACATTCCTCTATGGTAGGAGACACGATTTGCTCAAGAGAGGAAAATATTGACATTGAATAATGCTGTGATTATTGCATTGTTCGCCCAGACGCTCTCCGGTCCGACGAGCGACGAATAAACAAGCTCGCGATGGTATCGCACCGCCGATGCCTCCAATGCCGCGGCGAGGGCGTGCGGCGGCCGCGGCGGCGGCGGCGGCGGCGGCGGCGGCGTTGGGCAAGGGGAAGGCGCCTGCGGCCTTGCGGCGCGCACGACGTCGCGACGCCCCGCGCACGCCCTCGCCCCCGACGCCCCGACGCGGATCGCAGGATCGCAGACGCGGATCGCAAAGGATAAAATCATACCACCAAGGAAGTATACAAATTGCTACAATAAATTTAATGAAATTACTTAAAGAAATACGAACGGGAATGGTAAAGAAAGGTTTAAAAGAAAAGCAAAAAAATGCTAAAGAATTTTTAAAAGAAATGCTCAAGGAATTAGTCACGGAAAGTTAATGAAGTGCGAGAAATGGCGAACAAACATGTAAATGACGAACGTTCGTTTGAGGGTCGGTAATAAGAGAAGGCGAGGGTGGTGGCAACTTATCGGCACTTAAGGCCGATTCACAGTGTAAACGTAAACATAAGCGCATAGACATAAACATTAACATAAGTGATAGACTGAAGTATTCACAATGCCTAAAATAAACGTAAGCAAAATAAGTGTTTCTATTGGATGTGAAACATTCTGGTTTACTATTGGTTGGATGTGAGAATCGATTTCTAGGTATCGACTGGGTCCATGGCCCATATGGCTTTAGTTCGACTGTCGACTTCGCTCCTCTTTCGATTCTCGATTTTGGGTTAACGAACTATGATTGGTTCATTTCGTGTCTTACTTAGGCATAAGCACAAAAGCTTACAAGCTTTTAAGTTAACGTCTTACGTGTTATGCTTATGAGAACGCATTGTGAATGAGTCCGCTTATGGACGTATTTCTAACTTTTATGTTAACGCCATGCTTATGTTTATGTTTGCATTGTGAATGGGCCTTATGACTGGAGATCAAACCTGCGTAAAGGACGCTGAGAGAATTCGCAGTTTGAAGGTTTTCAACTTGCGATGGTCTGGTAGGCAAATACGAATTCTTCGTTTCACATGCCATCATCTCAATCAACTTCCCTTACTGACATTCACTTCCTTTACACACATTCACCTCGTAAAATCCGAGGCTGAACTCTGTACTCGATGGTCAGAAATACATTGTGAGTTGAGACTAGAAGGGAACTGGGGCTTCCTCGATACATGGGTGGAATTTGCTGCACAGTGGGTGGTTATTCAAAAAGTTGTACGTGTGAAGTCAATTTAACTTAGCAAAACTATGGCCCCCGGCGTCGCTAGCTGAATTCCTTAACTATGCTCTGTGAAGTCGCCAAGGTTAAGCATCTCGAGGCATCTGGGATTCCTGGATGGATGACCGTGTGGGAACCCCAGGGGTCGAATGGGGAAGAGCTGGTCGAAAGGATAAAAGAAATGGCTGACGATGACGGACTAGGTTAAAGGAGGAGGCACAGTACCGTTTGACGGCGTTGAAGATTTATAGTACCTTGTTACGAAAACGGAATAGTACTTTAAAGAAATGAGAATCTTTGCTTGTGCATTTCCGAGACTCCAGGTTTTAGTTGCAGGGACTGACATCACGCAATCTTGGGATCACTGATTCCCCTGCAGCCATTGCTTTTCCCATCGCTTGCGTTACCACATCCTTCTTAGATCCCACTTATGCTTCACCTCGTCCAACTCCTCTCATCCTTCTCTGCCCCGTCTTCCTCCGGAACCTCCGTCTCTGTTCTGTGTCCTTGCCATCGACCTCCCTCGCGTAACTAATTCCAAAATATTAACACTTTATTAAACACTCGCATTCCACACGTGTTCAATTGATCGTCTCGCACACTTGAGCTATTTGCCAAAAGTATCGTCGCCCGCCGCCGCCGCCGCCGCCCGTGCCACTGTGCTCCTCTTAGCAGCTGTTAGCCCCCGACGCCCTTGCGCGTCCACGGTTAGAGCCCCCACGCCCTGCGCCGGGCGAAGCACGGTGGGCCGATCGCCGACGATTGCGAATAAATCGCTCGGCGCAGAAACCATCAAATGAGAGGTCGGATTTTAATAAAATGCCATTCTTAATGAGATCGCTTGTCAGGAATAAATAAATATGGTAAATTGAAAGTATTTTCTGGAAACAACAATTTGTTTTGCTAATGATCGTTTCGATCACGTAGCGATCATCCTCAGAGCTAAAATTAGAATTATCGAAATAAAATTATGTTAATTCATGAATTATATAACATTATATATATATATATATATATATATATATATATATATACTGTTTTTTAACAAATCTTTTACGTCATTTTTCTTTGCTTTTAGGGCATTTAAAAAACATTTTAACAGCATTTTATTGATAATTTTTTGCGATGTTAAAAATCGACCCCTATATATAACGTACGTTGAAGCATAGAGTAGCATCTAAACCCTTCATGTCCGCCGTGAAGTCTGGTTGTAACATTGACGAAAATTTTTATTGGGTGCACAATTGCGTGTAAAGTATTTCAGTTTTTTCTTCTTCTGAAAAATCGAGGACAGCAGACAGATATTTCTGCACCAAGCAAACAAAGTGCATTCAGAAACAGAGGCAGCAAAATAACGTAGAGTTATGAGCATTTTATGAAGTCTCCACGCTTACTCCAGACGCTTGTTTTCATGATGCGAAATCTACAAAAGGAATTTGAGGCAGTACTTTCCTTTAACATTCGAAATGGAATTCATTACAATCGTTCTTAAGCCATTTTACAATTCTCCAATGCGTATTGTTTCAAGAAGTACTCGCATTACTGTTCTAATAGATACTGCTACTATAATTGGCATTCCAAGATCTCCACAGATTAAGTCGTTGGTAACATTGTTCTCTCTCTAGAATTGAAGGTGTAAAAAAATATTCACAGACACACACACACACAAATAAAACACTGACTTCGAAGCGCCGAGGCTAGTTCATGTGAAAGAGGACTTGAAAAAATGCCAGTTAATATTTACGAGAGCCATTAGCTATAAATAGCTTCACGAACACGATTACCGATGAAGTTGGAATCTGGAGCGAGCCTAAGGCATTCGTAGATAATGACAAGAAGAAGAAAAAAAGAAGACGAAAAAGGCGAAGGAGGAGAAGAAGAAAAAGAAGAAGAGAGAGGAATGAGGGGTAGAAAAAGGACGATAGAAAATAATAATAATAATAATAATAATAATAATAATAATAAGAAGAAGAAGAAGAAGAAGAAGAAGAAAGAGGAGGAGAAGAAGAGGGAGGAAGGAGGAGAACAAAAAGGAGAATGAGAGATATTATTATTATTATTGTTATTATTATTGTTATTATTAAGAAGAAGTTCAGCGCCAGAAGGGTCTTAGGGTCTTCCAAGAGCGCACGTCTGCCCACTGGGGCCGTGCGCGCCGCGACCTCCGCGCGCAGTGTGTCACGGCGACGCCACGCCACGCGACCGGAGGCCCTGGCGGGCTATTTGCGCTGTGACTCGCCTCGCACACGCCGCTTGCAAATTCCGTTTTCGCACCCCACGGTGCGACATGAAATGCCCATTGCCATTCAATGCTTACTTCTGCCTTGAGAAACAATACACTCCATTTGGGAGCGCGCGCAATAAATATTAATGAAGAAAGGAAGCAGTTACTGCTCCGAGATAAAATTATCTCTAACAATCTTTCAAAAGGCTTTGAATTGCATAATTTACGTTTTAATAGACCGAAGAGTCACAGAGATATATGTTAAAGCTAATTAAATTAGTGTCGTGACACATTGATCATTTGAACCGCAAGGATTCGTAAAATCGAGAGGATTTAAATGAATCCACATAATTATAAGGTAAGAGAATGTATGCAACCCGCACAACGTATGCAAATCGCTCGTTTGAACTTGATTGTTTTCTCTCATCGCGGTGAGTCAGGAAGTGGCCGCTGTGACAGACCTTGTCACATCATGAGCCTTTCACTCAAAGAGAACGGAGCATTGTCCGAAGCGCTTTGCCGATTATCGCTCTGTCGTCTTGTTTTCTCCGAGATCAGCGAGGACGCGCAGGCGCACGTGCACTCGCGAGGTTCAGTCCACGAGGTACAGTCAACACACATGTCAAGCGACGTAAGTGTCTCAAACGGCCATGCTTCGGGCAAGAAACATTGGTGGTAAATACATTGTAAACGCACGTAAATGACTAAAATTATTTAAATAAGTGTAAGAAAAGAAATTAAAAACATGACAATCGTAGCTAACTTTGTAAAACCTTCCACACAAGCATTTCAAACAAATGCATAAGAGAAACACTTCCTCGATAGATAAGTTGGCCTATCATTTGCGACTGCATATATCATACCTTTAGAATCTAAAAGAAATCATTCAATGAATGAAGTCGTTATAATAGAACGTCAAAACGTTCTTTACCAGTTAAATTCACAAGAATTTCGAAGAAAAAAGATTACCAAAAATCTACATCTACTCTCGGTTCTTAATCATTTCCTCAGTTATTTGAAAGAAAATACAGAAATTTCTTTTTCGTTTCTGGTAGAAAAATGCACTTTTTTCAACCAAATCTTGAACTCTTTTTGTGTTAAAAATAGTATTTTTTACACAATCATAAGTTCGCACATCCATCTATCCTCATCTCAGTGTAAAACGCGTGACCCCGTCACGTCACCTTTATATTACTTAGTAGTTGTTCTGTAAATCCGAAAAGCACTCACCCCGTAGAGCGCGTCCAGCTTGGCGTCGGCGGCGGCGGCGGCGCCGGCGGTGGCCGCGGCGGTGGCGAGGGGCGCGGGCAGCGGGCAGAGGCCCAGGGCCGCCGCCGGGCGCGCACCCCGCCTCGTAGCGCGCGTGCCCCGGCGCAGGGTGACCGTGATGAGGCGCGGCGTTGCGCAGGGCCGAGGGCGGCCGCCAGCAGCGCGTGTCCAGCACGGGGGGCGGCGGCGGCGGCGCGCCGGCGCGGGCGCGGGGGCGGGCGCGGCGGCGGCGCGCCGAGCCGGGCGGCGTCAGCTCCGAGAAGCCGCTGGAAGCTGCCGGGCCCTTCCCCGCGCAGGAGCCGCGCGCGGCTGCTCGCCGCCGGACCCCGACGACGGAGACGCGACTGGCGACAACCTGCAGGCAAGCCGCAACCACGGGGACGTGCATCACGATCAGGAATAAACAGAAATGCAGCATTTTCAATTTTTAAACCCTGCAACCAATTCTCGAACTCCTTCAATCGCATCGCTACGACCCCTCCAACGCATCTCGACCCCTCCAACTGATCCTCGAACCCCTCCAACCAATCCTCGAACCCCTCCAACATCTCAATCCATCACGAACCCGAACTCCAACTCACGATCTCAACGCATCCTCGAACTTCAACGGACCTACCCCAACGCATCTCATCCCCTCGAACCCCTCCACCCTCAGCATCTCGAACCCCTCCAACCAGCATTCGGCATAGAAGCCCCTACCAACGCATCCTCGACCCCTCGGCAACATCCTCGATCCCGTCCAACGCACTGACCCCTCAACCTCATTACGTCTCGAACCCCTCCAACCATCTCGCGAACCCTCCAAACCCATCCTCGCAACCCCTCCAAACGCATCCCTCGAACCCCTCCCACCCATGCCTCGAACCTCAACCCTCCACGCCCAGCATCCTCGAACCCCTCCAACCCATCCTCGAACCCTCAAACGCATCCTCAACCCTGCCTCCAACAGATCGGCTCGAACCCCTTCCAACGCCATCCGATCGAACCCCTCCAACACATCCTCGAACCCCTCCAACACATCCTCGAACCCCTCCAACCAATCCTCGAATCCTTCCAACGAATCATCGAATCCCTCCAACAAAACCTTTAATGAGAAAACCATCTCAGTTGCGTGGATGACACCGCGTCGAGGGTAATGATGATGACTTTTCGACCATAATATCGTGGACTTCTTCAGGACCGGAGTATGAAGATCACGATGTGATGGCCGAATCATTGTTGCCTCGATTGATGTGGTCATTCATACCGTGAGTGTAGTACAAGCAGGAACTGATCTTCATGTCGACTTACGGAGTTTTATCCTCCACGTATCTCCCTCCAGTAGGGCACCGCCCCAGTTTTAAGTGCCTAACAATTGCGGGAAGACTAAGCTTCCTAGTGGTCTCCCGCAACCTGGCGATCGTTACGTGGAAGTGTGTGTCATGAAGGGGAGAGGTGGTACAAGACTGAGGAAGAAAAGTTGCGCGCGGTCCGTGGCCCGTTTGTTAGGCATTCGCCTGGTATTGATCGAGGGAACCATGGAAAACTATCGATCAAAGATCAGGATTCGACCTCCCAGTCAGTGACTGCACCAGTAACAAATGTTGTTACTGAACCTTCTTAGTCGGAACGAATCCTAAAACGAGTATTTCAATCCCTCAAAAAATTATCGAATCCCTCGATGAATTATCAAATCTTGGAGTATTATTAAATGGTGATATCTCGAGTTGTATTCACGAAGACGAATTTGACGAATAAAGGGAGAGCTAAATAACAAAATATTATAAAAGAATAAAGTTAATTCAGTATATTTTTATTTAAACGCACAAGTCAATGCCACTACATCTCAATAGTACTTTTGTTTCGTTTATATACATATTTATTGGAATTCTTTTGAGAAACACGTCACCTGCCATTAAATTTTCCATTAAAGTTGAACCAACACGTCAATTTGTGTACCATGTACCTGTCTTCAAATATGATGGGTTGAAAGCGATGAAAAAACGATCAATGTTAATTTCTTGATATCGTTTTACATCCATAATTTAAATAGCCTAAAATATCGTAATCTTATTCAGTGACTCAGTCAGATGTAAATGAGACGTACGGATGGTAAGACAAAAACGATAAGACAAAAACCACAAACAGTCCTTAAAAGCTCTATTTTTCAGCTGCGCATGTTTAAGCCTTTACATTCATTACGTATCTATTATTTTAATAGGATCGAACACAACATAACATTACAATTTAATTCATCATTTATTAATTCCCAGAATTTACCACTTACACCTTAAAAAATACTCCGTTGTAAAACGTTTTCTTTCTCATACTTAGACCGTAATTCTTTATAACAATTTAATGCTTAATGAATTAATGAAACATTCGTCATTCGCGGGATTTAAGAAATTTTTAGAATTCGAATACAAGAAAACTTAAGGATTCGTCCTACTTCTAATAATTAATCAAAAATAAATATTTGAAATGTAAATAACAAAATTAGCTTTTATCTTCGGTAGGTTTAATCATTGCAATACATTTATATACACCGAAAGATGGAAGAGTCACATGGGAATTGCTCTGGACGATATTCGACAAAGCAAACCCCTCTGCCCTTGCCGCAAATTAAATTCAAGCAAGCACGTCGCTTGTGGCCTTCCCCGCCTACCGAGGCGGATTGCTGTACGTGGAACCGACGAGGAAGAGAAGTCTGAGGAGCTGCTGCATACCAAAGTCGTTGTTTGGAAAGTCAAGAAAGGACAATGCGTTTATGTAACTAAGAAACAAATATTCAGTCTTCAATGTACGCCGATTAAAGCGAACAATACATTTATTCCTACTATCGCCTGTAGTAGCAATTAATTCGAACAGTTTTAAGACATTTCCTATTAAGAGATAAAAGTGAGAAGAAATGTCATAAAAAGTGAAATACTGTAATTGATAGACGCACACGTAATCGTCCATCTTACGAGACAATGAAGAATGAAATATGCCAAGCATGTAATCAGTTGCCTGAAAGTATCACGCACGAACGATAATGGTACCTTCATCCCCCCTCCGTTAGATCATCAATGCATACCATTCATGTTTGTTCGGGCCACTAGACATTACTGAACTCTTATGAGAAAGCATTCTTTCCCGATTACAACCCCCGTTACGTCACATGTTCTTATGCTAATGAGGACTACTCTGGGAAGCCAATACGGCTGAACAAAGGGAAAAGGTTTATCATAGCGTGTGAGGGTGGGGTTTATTGAACGAAGAAAGTATTTCATTTTGTGTCAGAGAAAGTTTAGCGCTCTCTGTTGGGGGGGGGGGGGCTCCAGTTGAAAATTAATTTACGACCAGGCAGAGACATGGATTAATGCTCGCCCGCTAAATAACGATACCTTTGGAAAAAATAACTAATGTATATTCCGGAGCTGGAGGTAATGAAGCCAATATAGAAACGATTCTAGGTTATTGGGTGCAAGAGTAGAGAGAAATAAATTGAATAGATCCGCAGTATGTTCACAGAGCAGGCCATTATCTAAAAGGAAAGTGACATTTATCCACTGCACTGTACTGCAAGAATAAATTTCCTTAACGAGAGTTATACGTTCCCATCTTCAACAATTTAACGTATAATTTTCTGAGGTCTGCGGAGAACAGGTCGCTAATGATCTCTCCAACTACGGAATAAAGGTCAAAATGCGAAGAAATCAGCGGGGACGAAGTCCCCCCAGTATGTCAAGTAATGTGACGAAACGGCACTTTTGCTCACAAACACAGAAATGCAAGGTTATATTGACGTGGAGGAACTCGATAAGTAAATGAAACAAGACGGAGCTATACGAAGATGAGAGTACCGGTTACGTACCCAGATGGGTCTATCAAAGCGTGTTTTTTCCGTGATGACCGAATGTAAGAACACTCTTCTACAACATCCTTAGGAAATATATTTGCATTATATTTAGAATGCGCCATGAGTATTTTTTATAGCCTGAATACTAGCTTAGACTACTAACAACGTTTACACAGTTCCACGTAGAAAAATCATCTCGTAATTGTTTCAATAATGCAGCATACATTTGATTTGTCTACTAGGAATGAATTTTTAAGGTCCTATAAGGCTTAGACTTGGAAATGATTTCAGTAATTTGAGAAGGACTTTTGCTGTCCACACTTACATAAAACATCAACGTGGCGTTATAAGTGTCAATGACTCGACAAAGTTCATATACACATAAATACGAACAATCGACTCCGCAATAAAACAAGGGAAAGTCATTTGACAATGCACAAAATTTCACTCTCATTTTTATTTCAATTGGCCATTGTTACGCTGAAAAACATATACGAATGGCCCGTTCTTCCCACAGATGCAATTGGAGGTCCCAGCGCTCTCGTGGAATAAGGGGTGGGCGGGCGAGAACGCGTGAGACACCCGTCTGGAAGAGCTCTCCTTTGTATTCGCTTGCCAAGGGCGGGACGTTATAATAATTTACATATGTGCATAAGCAGTTGGTTCTGCCAATAGAACATTTTAAAGCGACGCAGCTGTCTAATGACACAAAAACCGAAAAAAGAGTGAAGACAGAAAGTATCAAATAACGCAATTCGGGAAATTGAAACTCGATTAAATACGAATTATCGAATTGCTTTGTGAAGTAATTGATTAATAACTAAAATTAGAATTTTAGCTTTTTGACAATTCATAGTTAACACATCAATGGTTCTTAAGTAAAGAATTCGTATGTTGAAATCGATTTTATCATATTGTCTATACAAATTTCATACGTTTTGGTTTTCAAATATATCACGATACATTTCCACCTTAGAATTACGTCCTCTCCCCCTCTCTTTTGTCTATTCTCTTCGTTCTTGCTTAGCCATTTATTTACTCTCATTCTCATTTCGCATACGCCCAACAACATAAAGTTAGAACCCTAAACAATTATTTTTATTCTTTAAAACAAAACATATTCAACTTTTCCATCAGAAAACCCAAATGAAACGAAGGTAACAAAATGTATGGAAAGAAAAAAATGAGTGAAATGATTCCAAACGAGTGAAATGAAACGAAAGGAGTGCATTGTAATGAAAGGAGAGAAATGATATGAAATGAAATAAAAGGAGTGAAATGAAACGAAACAAAACGAGTAAAATGAAACAAAACAAGTGAAATGAAACAAAACAAGTGAAATGAAATGAACGGAAGGAATTACATGAAATGAACGGAAAAGTGAAATGAAACAAACGAAAAGAATGAAAGGAAATGAAACGGAAAGAATGAAAGAAGAGGCGAGGCGAGGCAAAAGTGAAAGGCGCGGCCAGGCGCGCGAAGCTCACCCGCACGCTGCTGGTGGTGCTGGCGGTGCTGGCGCCGCTGCCCTGGCCGCTGGAGGAGCAGCTGTGGCCGAGCGCGCGCGTCATGCGCTCCAGGTGGTGGCTGGCGGAGAGCGTGAGCGACAGGCGGCGCAGCGCCTCCTCGGCGGCGGGGTCCCCGCCCCGCGACGACGCAGACGACGACGACGACGTGGACGACGGCGCTCGGGGCCACACGGGCCGCGGCACGCCCTCCGCCACGCCCTCCGGGATGGGCGACAGCGCCGCCCCGGCCGGTCCGCCGCAGGGATTGAGTATGCTCGACAGCTTTATTTGGCGCGGTCGCTGGCGGCAAGCACGCCAGCCGCTTCTGCTCTGGTGTCGGCCCTCAGGGGCTGCGCACGACACACACGCCACGCACGGTCTCCCTCGGCCCTCCTCCACGCCCTTCCCTTGCACACTTCTTTCTATTCCTTCCCCTCCCTCTTTCCCTCTCTATCGCCATCTTAATGTATTTTCTCTTATTCTCTTCTTCCCTATCGCTCTCCTTCCCTCCCTTTTCGTATCTCTCCCCATCGATGTCTCCTTTGTCTCTCTCCCTTCTCTCTCCCTCTCTCCTTTCTCTCTCCCTCTACCCATATCCTCTCTCTCTCCCTCTACCCATATCCTCTCTCTCTCTCCCTCTACCTATCTCCTCTCTCTCTCTCTCCCTCTACCTATATCCTCTCCCTCTCTCTCTCCCTCTACCTATCTCCTCTCTCTCTCTCCCTCTACCTATCTCCTCTCTCTCTCTCCCTCTACCTATCTCCTCTCCCTCTCTCTCCCTCTACCTATCTCCTCTCCCTCTCTCTCCCTCTACCTATCTCCTCTCTCTCTCTCCCTCTACCTATCTCCTCTCTCTCTCCCTCTACCTATATCCTCTCTCTCCCTATATCCTCTCTCTCTCTCCCTCTACCTATATCCTCTCTCTCTCCCTCTACCTATATCCTCTCTCTCTCCCTCTACCTATATCCTCTCTCTCTCTCCCTCTACCTATATCCTCTCTCTCTCTCTCCCTCTACCTATATCCTCTCTCTCTCTCTACCGTATTTTCTCTCTTCCTCCGCCCTATTTCCTCTCTTTCTCATTCTCTCTCTCTCTCTCTCTCTCTCTCTCTCTCTCGCGCACACACACACACACACACACACACACATACAAGAGTATGCTTGGGAATTAATTTCGACAACCTTGAAACACGTTTCCACTTGGCACCATTCACGTTTGATTCTTTTATGGCCTGGCACCGCCAAAGACTCGTTCATGAGAGAAAGGCTAACAGGAAGGTGATGTAGGTGAGCTGGAGGGCACAAGACACTAAATCTTGAATTACAAAGAGTCAGCTGTTATCATCGAGTCAAACGGTCGACGTCATCGACTCTACTTATCTTTTAATTGGAAATGCTTTACATTTTACCAGAAGTGTTACTAGCGTAGTTTGATGTGATTTTTTTTCGTTCGTCATTTTCCGTACGTTTGATCGTTAGGTTATCCATCACCCTTGCTTCTGCTTGGTAGTCATTCGAATTTCACGCCCTAAATTAAATGACAATTTAATAATAATAATAACAATAATAATTTGAACATTAGCGTTACTCAATGTAAGTTTAAATATAATTTACTATTCATTACTGTCACCCTGTAAATCATCACCGTTGTTTACGTCTACAACGCAGTGGACAATCTTGAAAATCTATGAACAGGCCATCTCAAACATATATAAAAGATAAGGTAATTCGAATTTCTTTTAGTGATGATTCCGTGAGAGAAATTGTTCAGCATTAAGAGTGATGGTCGCTATTAGAAGCAATGCTTATCCACGGAAAGCAGAATTTAGAATGTGCCAAAGTTTGTGAATCAATATTATAATTATAATATAATCGAAAATCGTTGAAAATTGTCTTAGAATACGAACATTTACAAGAGGAATCGGGAGAGAGGTGGCAGCTGAACTCAGGAAGAACGACGGGAAATCAGGGCAGAACCACAATAGATACAAAGGGATTGATTCAAGATTGCCTTCGGTTCTCGGAAAGTTAGACGTATTGTTTACGGTACGTCGTGTGCTTAAGTCGATAAGTCTTCGATAAGTTGTGTGCATAAGTCAATAAGTCATGTGCGTAAGTCAATAAGTCTTCGATAAGTCGTGTGCTGAAGTCAAAAAGTCTTCGATTAGTCGTGTGCTGAAGTCAAAAAGTCTTCGATTAGTCGTGTGCTGAAGTCAAAAATCTTTGGTTAGTCGTGTGCTGAAATCAAAAAGTCTTCGATTAGTCGTGTGCTGAAGTCAAAAAGTCTTCGATACGTCGTGTGCGTAAGTCAAAAAGTCTTCGATAAGTTATGTGCGTAAGTCGTCAAGATGCGATACGTCGTGTCGTAACGGTAAGCGCCTTCTTGCTATCGAAGCCAGAGCACGCGCCAAGTGACAGCCCTTGCGAAGGGGACCTTTCTTGTGCCAAAGAGGTTGTATCAGGGAAACTGCGCGCTTACCATTGATGGCGCGACACTGTTTCACAATTTAGTTTGCCTGGCCGTGCACTCGGAGGCTAAAATATTCCACGTTGTATCAAAGGCATCAGAAGTGCCGCACAAAGTGTCAGGATCTTAATGCGGACAGTGCATTCGGTCGGACGGGTGTCCGACTCTGTATTGTAAGTACGAACATTCTTCCCTGATTTCAAAACGACTCATTTCCACTTTTTGTTCGCAGGCAAAATGAATAACGGATGCCCTACCCTTGCGTCTCCGAAGCAAATTTGATTCATTCCCCTCATTCGAACCAACATATAGGAGGGTGGGGAAGAGAAAGAGAGAAAGAGAAAGCGAGGAAGAACAAGAGAAAGAAATATATAGAGAGAAAGATAGAGCGAGAGAGAGAGAGAGCGAGCGAATGAGAGAGTGAGAGAGAGCGAGTGAGAGAGTGAGAGATAGAGCGAGTGAGAGATAGAGCGAGTGAGAGAGAGAGCGAGTGAGAGAGAGAGAGCGAGTGAGAGAGAGAGAGCGAGTGAGAGAGAGAGCGAGTGAGAGAGAGCGCGAGTAAGAGAGAGAGCGAGTGAGAGAGAGAGCGAGTGAGAGAGAGAGCGAGTGAGAGAGAGCGAGTGAGAGAGAGAGCGAGAGAGAGCGAGTGAGGGAGAGAGCGAGTGAGAGAGAGAGCGAGTGAGAGAGAGAGAGAATAAAGATGCGGAGGGAAGGGATGAGAATGACGCCAATAACGGAAGAGCTATCCGTGGTCATACAGAGGCCGGATAACGCGAAAAGAGGCGTAAGAAGTGAAGAAGAAAAATAAGCGAGTCGCTCACCCCCGGCGCGTGCGGCGCGCAGTCGTCCTCGCCGCCGCTGCTGCTGCTGGCGCAGCCGCCGTCCGAGGAGGAGTGGCCGCCGTAGCCCGAGGAGCCCGACTTGCCCCCGCAGCCGCTGCCGCCCCCGCTGCCGCCCCCGCTCCCGCCCCGCCGCTTGCCCTG